CTCCTGCAGCCGCGGGGGGCACTGGGGGGTCCCCGGGCCGTTGTGTGCCCGGGGAGCGCGGGCCAGAGCAGCCCGGGTAAGACAGACCTCGGGGGTCCGCGGGGTCCGCGGTGTAATTGGGCCCGTAGACCCTCGTACTCGGATTGGCAATCGGGTGGGCCGATGTGGGCTGCTTTCGGGTCGGTTGCCGCACAAACGCGTCTCACAGAGTGGCAAGATAAGGTGGTCACTAACATCATCAGGGACCAGGACAAACTGATGGATGATTACAAATATCGTGACATTCACTGGATGATACCAGCTGCTGACGGTGACTAGGTGGATGGGCCATCTTAACTGACCTGGAAAAGGAGCATATATCCAATACACATGCTCAATAAATAGCTGAACATCTGACTCCTCTTAAAAAACCCCATCACAACACAAACTATCAGTCATTTCAAGCTGGTCATATATGAAGCATTTAGGTTTGAGAGTTTTGATCTCTCCCTCAGTGTCTCCTGTGTTTATCTGTGTATTCGCCGGCTGCTGTAGTCCTGACCCGAGGGCTGGGCTCCTCTGCCCCAAGACTTTCTGCTTGCGCAGTGCCCTGGGACCTGAAGTCCCTGTCTGAGATGTGCAAGTGTCCCCTGTGATACAAGGAAATGTCAGCCAGAGCCGGGGCAAGCCGAAGCGTGATCCTTTCCCTCTGCCATGTGTATGCCAGGAAGCAAATTAGCACCAATTTTTTAGGAGGCATCTTACTAAGCATTAAACTCCCCATCCTCCACATCTATGAGCCCCTCTGCAGATCCCCACTGGCTTCAGTGGGACGATGCACCACCAGAAACATCTCCCTGTCCAATGTGTGTTACTAGGGCTCGGGGGTTTTTGATACAAAAGCTTAAAGACAGTGGGACTTCACCTCAAATAATTTCTTCTTTGAGGTACAAAAGCAAGTGTCCAGTGTTGCCAACAACCTTCTGTGTCATACAAGCGAAAATTGAGAGTTAATGGGTAACATCGGTTATTAATAAATGCTGAGATTTCTGGAGAACTTTAAACCCAAAATAGCTGTGGAAACATTAACTCTGAAACAGAGCTTCAGGGTAAGGTCATCCTGTCTTACACCTGTTTTTATTTTCACCACATTTTGAGTCAAAATTATATAGATTTCATGTTTCAGTGATAAATATCATGTATTTAACCGCTTTGAAATTATGCTTTTCACAACCTCTTCTTGCCACAAAGTACAAATTAGGGCAACACATTCAATCACCTGTGAACAATGAAAAAGGAGCACTGTTACGATATTTCAAAAGGAAAACCTAATGATGGCACAAGTTGTCAGGCACAACTTAAATAAAGAGAATTAAGATGAATGGCGAAGAGGGGGAAAGAAAAGGAGAGTTAAAATGTGGTACCACATGGATTCAATCCTGTGCTTGTAATATACGGGTTATAATTAGTTAAGACAGTTTTCAGAGACTCTAGCCTGCTCTGCAGATGTGCAGCTCCATCCAGCCGCTCGATGCCTCTTCCCGGCCGGCAGCGGGGCAGCTCCGTGGGCAGCCTGCTCCTGGCTCCCCCCGCCGCTCCCGAGATCCGCTCAAGAAGCAGCGGGTGATGCCGAAGGGACGGCTCTGTGCCGTGCACGAGACCTGCAATTAGCGGGACTCGCATCCTTTCTGACAGTTATCTTAACTGCTGTTTGTGTGAGACAGGGAAAGGAAACGATTCTGCGAATATCTGCAGGAGGGTGACTCCTGCATGCTCGGAGCTCGCAGGGAACACACCGCAGGGACCTGCCGTCGTGTTTTAGCCGAGATGGCAGTAAAAGGGGTCCTCCCTGCAGGTAAGAGTGGTAATAGGACGGAAACTGTGAAACAACATTCCTCCTGAGAGAGCGGTGCTGGAGCCGGCTCTTCACAGGAACCCCTCGAGCTGAGCCCCAGACATTGAAAAAAAATTCCCTGGCACCTCTCGAAAGCAGAAATCAGGT